ACGCTAAATCTCAAGGAGGTTACACGATCGCTCTCCCACGTGTAACGTCACGACAGTTGGTGGGGATTCCGTGGATTATTATAATCCAAAAGAACACAATAATACACCCTACAGATTAATCAGTAATCCTGGCAGCAAACACAAATAGAAAAATTCTACTAGCACTCTTAGATAATAGGAAAGCATATATCCGCCATTCCTATATACACAAGGAAGTCCCGGACAGTAACCCATATAAAGACAAGGCGCTTAAGAAATTTCCATCTAAATCGTGTAGTCGGTGCGACCGATACGACAGAAATATCACCGACTTTGATAAACTCCTTGTTATTCTCAGGCCCTACGGATTTAGATACTCCCAGAAAGACGCGGATAATTTTTATTATCATTGCCACAGCAAAAATCCAGAACGATCCGCAAAAGTTATTATTGAATCCCTGACCTTCCTCAAACCACCGTCGTCCTCGGAAGAATTACTAGACATCCTCACTACGAAAAATTGGACACACCTGGAAACAAACCCTTTTGCCCCTCCATCAGACGAAGATATTTTCGATTTCACTCAAAAGATTGAAGACTACCTGCTAAATAAAGCACTCGAAGACGAAAAGAAATTCCGACAACAAAGAGAAAAAGGCAAACAAAGAGCAATTGCTTCTGGTAGTAAAACCCAGGCTGTCGATTCACCAATTCTCGGACCTCTCTACGATCAAACAGTAACTCCACACGATCAGATACAGAATATCCGGAAAAGTTTAGACGGCTATTTTACAAATTACCAGGCTCAAACTGGACATAGGTTTACACCTGCGGAACAATACGATTTTGATAATGACCAACCTTTTGGTGATGATCCACAGCCAGTAGACCTCGATCGAGTTTTTAGTATCGATAAAGAAGACGAAGTAGACCTACAATCAGATGAATTTGAAGAAAAATCAGACGAAGAGTTCGAACAAGCCCTAGAACCAACCGAAGAAAATAATATAATAGTGGATATCAATAATCCATATTTCAACGCTTGGAATCCGCAAGCAGATCTACCTGTCTATCAGCCTAATCCTCAACCATACAGACTTCCTTCACCACCACCAGACTTACCACAAAATCTACCAAATCCACCAGTAGCACCTCCAGTAGTACCTCAACAAATTCCTCCAGTAGCTCCACCACCACCTCTGTTTAATCCAGCCCCATTCCAACCACCACAACAGCAACAATATCAAGGCGAAGAAATGTCGCAAGCATCATACCCTACCTTTGACGGCACCAATCCTCGCAAATGGATTGCAGAGCTCGAATTGGCATTTATTGCCAATAATTTACCCACAGATGCTCACCCTAGAAAAATCGGAATTGCAGCCTTACATTTAGGACCAGCGAAAATGTGGTATGTGACCATGGACAATAAACCTACCACATGGGGAAGAGCTAATGCAAGAGACGGTTTCAAGGAACTATTCCTAGCCAAGTATGCTACCGATGGCAATAGAACGCAAGCGTCCCAACAGGCCTACACACGTACTCAAAGGAAAACAGAGTCAGTAAACGATTATCTCAATGCGCTCCAAGAAATGTGGTTAGAATGCGGTGACCCAGTGGTCATGCCAGAATGGATGAAAGTCAATCAATTTGTCCATGGATTACTACCAGCGATAAGAACTCCAGTAATGCAGCAAGCACCAGGAACTATGGCCCAAGCCATTCAATTCGCTAATAACTGTTTCTATGCGATGAGGGCTAGTGTCCAACCGTCCCACAGTGCAGAAGTCAACGATGCGCTCTTGGAAGAAATTGCAGCGTTGAAAGTTCAAGTGGCAGAGTTGAGGACTCTTCCGGCCAACACGAATAATAGTAACAACCGAGGATACCAACAAGGCAACAACAATCGGCGAATGGGACCTAGATGTCACTATTGCGGAAATAATGGGCACATACACAGAGAATGCCGAATCAAGGCCAGAGACATCAAACAGGGAAGAAAGCTCAATTGGGCAGTACCAAGAAAGAACAATCAAGGACAGGGAAAAGGTCAGCCACGTCAGTAGA